TATATGTATGGTATTCAGCTTTGTTTTGGGTATTTTCCCACGTCATTATAATTGTGCTTTTAAAGTTGTAGCAACGTTTCGGCAGAATCTCATCTGCCATCATCAGGCTTCTGTATAGTGTTCGTCTGGAGACGAAGACTGGAGACGAACACTATACAGAAGCCTGATGATGGCAGATGAGATTCTGCCGAAATGTTGCTTAAACTTTAAAAGCACAACTATAACGACATGGGAAAATACCCGAACAAAGCTGAATACCATACATATATATATATATATAAATATATAGTTGGCACCCCTATTGCTGAAGACTAAATGGACACAAGTAAAATAACATCCAATACCTCTATGTGTAACAACTGCAAGCGATTTAGTTCTTTCTATCTGCTCAGCATTTCTTGGCCGTCTTCTGGTAATTTGCGTATTTGCTGATTGAAGGGAGAGCGAGTCCTTGAAAGTGGTGAGCTCCAGATCTGAGTTTCTGAGATTCACGGCTTGCCCTCGCTGCTCTTCGGAAACTCTATGGCTGGTGATAGTAGTAAGACTGGATACAGTAACATCAGCAGATGTGCTAGCAAAGGTATTATCAGCACCGGTAGCCGCAATATGTTCCTTTAACTCACCAGTGAAGTCAGTTTGGGTCAAAGTGGAAGAAGAACCTGTGGGATACACAGTAGCACTAGATGCTAACTTTTTTTCTTTGGAATTGTGTATATATTGTTTTTTTTTATTTCTCTTGATCAAGTTAATCAAATAAAATTGCCCTGTCTTTACAACATTTACCATAACTTAGCAACTCAGTGGCTGTCAATTTAAAATAAAATCTACCATACTTAGAGAACATATGTGCAATGTATCAACAAACATCATGTACCTACTATACTATCATAGCATAGTAATAGTGTAAGCTAAATGGAAAAGGGGTCAAGAATACACAATGCAGAACTGAGTAGAAGAACTAGGAAATTGTAAATAAGTTGGTTTCTTTCTTTCTTTCTACTGTTCACCAATGAGACTATCTGAGGATGGCATGTTTTATTGGAAGCTGTGCAATAGACAGTGGGAAAAAACATGTGACATATAGAAATCAGAAATAATTCACCACAGTGGCATCATTTCAATAGCATTTAAACTATTACACTGAGATTTTTGCCTGGTGCAATGGTTAAAATGCTGGATTAGAATTGGAGAGAACTGCTAAATCCATCATCAGCTATAGAAGCTCAGTAGTTGACATCAGACTAGCCTTACTTGCTAAGGTTTCTGCATAGGTTTCTTGTTGAGAATAAACAGTGGAGAAATAAGATAAAGGAAATGAAATATAAACATAAGATATTTGAACTGAGCTCATACCCTGGTACATACATGTCCATGACAATAGTACAGAAGTAGTTTTGCACTGCTCTCCCTCAAAAGATGTTTTCTGAGTTGCCTTACTAAATCCACTGCCCTAGTTTTAGTTCTCACCCTGCTTAACTTTTCTAAGAATATCCATGGTCAGCAAAGTGATACCACCTGTCATCAGACACCCACCATGCAATACATTAGCAGAATTGTTCTTACATCTCAAAAATATGTGATAATTTTCATTCTGACAAAGGATATCTAAAAACTATGGGGGGGAAATCTCCATGCAACTACATAGAGTTTATAAGGCATAAGAATGCATCATTGATCCTTTCACTATGAGCTGTGCATGCCTAGAAGTTGTACAAGGGTAATCTGAGGGCTACTTATACATGGACAAATTTTAAAATTTGTATGCAAGGGAGGAGGAAATAGAATCTTAATTGAAATGTTCTTTCCATGAGGGAAAAGCTATTTGCTTGTTTTAAGCTATTGGTTTTAGCTGAGTTCACCTCTGCTTCAAGCTATTAGGTAGAAAAGTAAAAGGAGGCACTTAAATCAAATAGACATTACGTGTATAATATGTATTTAGACAAGGAATAGATCTAAGAAATATCCAACCCTTTTTACAATATTTGAACAATGAAAGTGTGAAAGGGAATATTAAGCTTTAGGAGCTATCAGTGGGAATCTCTCATATCAATATTCTAGCATCACCTTCAGAAGTCATCTTTAACCAAATTAAATTACTATTAGCATCAGTCGCTCATGAAAATAGAACTTTAAGAAGTACAATAGGTTCAGGAAAAAAATGGTGAACCCTGAAAAAGAAAATAGAAATCCTTCTGAAAGTTATCTAAGATATTAATCGTGCCATACAGATTTTAGTCTGTTAAAGTTTGAAAAGTATTGTATGTTATTATTTGAAAGAAGTTTAAGCACTCTTCTTCTATCCATTCTCTTTATCCATATTATGAGAATATTCATACATTTCAGTACCAAACATCTACTAAAAATGTAGATGGAATGTCCGTCCATCTGTCTGTCCATCCATCGTCTCTCATCTCTTATCTCTCAATCTTCTGCTTTGAAACAATAGTTTCCTTTACTTTATTGTTAGCCAATCTAAATTTATTCTCTATTTTAAAAATAAATGTTTGGAGGGGGGGAAATTCACCTTCCTTTCCAATGAACACAGTATGTAGACATTGATAACACTAGCTTTGTTAGCTTCCATTCCGTCTTGCAATAATGAAGGTGTGGTTGGTAACCTACACTTTGATTTCAGATTCTTTGTTTAAGCTTCCTCTGTTTCTGCTTGCCTGATTTGAAACTATAGACAAGCATGACTGAGTCATGTCAAAACTTCAATACATACAAATGACAAAATGACATTCCTGCTATTTGGTCTAGAGATGAGAAAATAAATACATTCCTATACTCAAAATATAACAGCATGGCTTTCCATGAAATCCGATGGTCCAAGATTGCTGGTTACCATATTTCTATATGCTTCTATCTTTCCTTTCCTTTCCTTTCCTTTCCTTTCCTTTCCTTTCCTTTCCT